AAATTTTACATAGTTTACCTATCTAATTTTCCTATATCAACCCTGTAAGAATATTACATTCATTTTATAAATGGGGAAACCAAGGCTAGAGAGAAGAAGAAACTTGCCCAAGGACACATAAGAGATAAAAAACTGAACTGAAATTTTAACATTTGGATATCAGATATTGCATATGATCCAGTGAGCAATTCACTTGGAAGCCCACTGGCATCTCTCCAAACGGAGCCCCTATGATAAGCAAAATTTAGTCAAGAACAGAAGCATCTTTCCATGTTACTTTACTAGATAATATATTATTTTTGTATATTTAATGAAACCATGGCAGTAATTCAGTTTATATAATAGAAGTTATAGATTGCCATATTTTTATGTTATATTGCAGTTGTCCTCTACAACCAAGCCAAAAATTAATAATGGTAATTAACAAGGAAAATAATCATTAAAAAGCTTAATAATCAGAAGTTCACATGCTCAGCTAAAAAAAAAAAAACAACTTAGGAAGGGAACATTAAGCTTTGCAGTGGTTTACTAAGCATCAGTCTTCAGACTTCTTAGGACCTGTACATACTGCAGTGAAAAACTGGTAAGTGAACAAGGCTGTTTGGCTGTTACTTTAAAATAATTTCTACACTCTGGAAGACAACAGCATAATGAGATATATAAAGATTAAGTCTCAAAGAGTGAAGGCTCATTTGTGACAGACTTTGGGAGGAACACAAAGAACAATGAACCCATCTGAACTACATGGCATTTCAAGTCAATATGAAATTTGAGAATACTAACATCACTTTAAAAAGTTTAAAATGGGAAAAGAAGCAGTGTATGTATTAGTATCCTAATGCTGTTGTAGCAAGTTACCACAAAAGTAGTGGCTTGAAACATCACAAATTCATTACCTTATAGTTCTGGAGGTAAGAAACCTGAAATGAGTCACTCTGGGCTAACATCAAGGTGTCAGCAGGACTGTGTTCTCTCTGAAGGCTTTAGGAGAGATCTATTCCCTTACCATTTCCAGAGTCTAGCGGTCACCTACATTCTTCACAGGTGGCACCTTCTTGCATCTTCACAGCTGACACTGGCTGGGTGTGTCTTTCTCATATCTATCTCTGTCATACTGGCTCTCCTTTGTTCTTCATTCATTTATAAGGATACTTGTAGCTACACTGGGTCCATCCAAATAATCCAGAATAATCTCTCAGTTTTAATATTCTTAATCACATCTGCAAAGCCCCCATGCCATGTAACATTCATATTCACAGGTTGTAGAGATTAGAGCATAGACATCTTTTGGAGCCATTATTCTGCCTACTGAAAACAGCACAGTCTATACTTGGTTCAAGAAAGTAGTTATTGGAATACAAATTTGTTTTTCTTTGTAACTGCATATGGTGGTTAGACTTCAAGTGCAGTCTGCAGAGTCCAGCTGAAATTAAACTGTATTTGAACTGAGTAATCTGGGTCCTAGCAAAAAGATGATGCAAGAGAAAGCAACAGAGGTGCAGTTGACAAGACTTATAATAAACTAAATGCATGCAATAGGCAAACAGGGTTGAAGTATACTAAATATGTACAGTATATTAATTCTGAATTATTTATAATTAATTTTTTACTCAATTGTTTTGTTACACGTAACAGTTTTGTCTGTTACCAACCTTTTCTTAGCAATAGTGAGGACTATGTAAAAGCAAAATTCATGTTAATCTATAACTGATGAATTTTCATAATAGAAATTATAGAAACCAACACCAAACTGCTTGACACATCAGAGAAGAAAAGAAGTAAGATTATGGAAATTTAAATTCTAGGTTCCAGAATCTGATTGTGCTAATTACCCCCTGTGTGATCTTGGGCAAGTTACTTAAAATTTCTTTAATTTTTTTTGGAAATTAAAAATAGGGATAACACTAGCTCTTGTCTTCAGGATTGCTTTAAAATAAAATAGAATGCATAAGGGCCAAAGACATTCCGGGCCATTGTCAGTACTCAATGATTAGGTTGTTACTTTGGGTAAACTAAGTTGGTAGCCTTTAGCAATCAGAGAAGAGACATTAACGTAAAGTTACAATTCTTAGATATTTATCTCAAAGAACTTGAATCATCAGAATGATAGACAAACTGAAGAATCTTGAGAATAACTGTCACAGCCAGGTAATTATTACGTTTTAGCACAAAATTTTATACAAACGGTTATCGTAACACGCAACATTCTAAATTTGTTCCAATAATAACTTTGGACATCCAAAGTTGTTCCAATAATACTTTGACATAGTATAGAAAGAGTAAAGACTTGGTCCTCATGGAAGCTTTGCTGGAAAAGTAAGTATAAAAAAACAAATGGAACCAAAGCTCCTAGAGACACCATGTATGTACCAAGCACTATGATAGAGGTAAGCCCAAAGACAAATCAATTTAGGCACAAGTTTTAAAAGTCATTTCTTAAGAACACTGGCTGAACTTTGCTAGATCCTTCTCTAATTTTAAGTAGAATGGCATTTAACCTCTAGTTTCTACCTTTACTGAAGTATATGGGATGCTGTTTCCATACACTAAATGGCCCAGCCTTCCCTGCTTTCTAAGTTTGTTTTTTCCACCTGATCCTTTGTAACTGGAGACCAACAGTTCCTCAATGCAATTTCTCACCTGAAATGAGAGTCTTTCCTAGGAGGTGAGGTATTTTGGCTTTATTACAATGATTATGTGCATCGATCCATGCCTCTTTGAACTTTCTATCCATATTTTAAATGCCAAAGATTATTAGGTAGCCAATTTGCAAACAGGTGAACTGTTATTTTTGTCTAATCTCAATATTGTCTCAAAGGAGACCGATATGTCACTAAACATCCACAAAGCATCATTTATAGTTACTTCTTAATCTAAACTGACAAAAAGTATGGTAGAATAAAGTTTGGCAGGGCTTCCTTTCCACACTAGACATATGGGCTATAAGGAAATTTTAAGATTACCAAGCGAATGTCAGAAAAATATGTAATTATTTCTTTCACTTATATTTTTTTAAAAGGAAGAAATGGCTGCACAATTTTTTCTGGCAAACCAAAAGTATAAATCCTCATAAACTCTGCAGAACAATACCAATTATGCATCATATGGAAATACTGAAGTACATTAAGAGAATGGTTAAAGCTGAGCCCAAGCAGTACTAATCCTTGGCTAGGATTGTAACTGATTATCTCACTTTACCTTATTTAGTAATGGTAGTAGAGCCCCATTAAAACAGAGATGACATATGATAAAGCTGTTTCTGTGTCTAGTAAGTAGATTATGGTTATAAACTTCATTGCTGAGATAGTTTTAAAGAATGTTTCAAATGTAAGAGCTCTAAAGGACAAATTATTTCCCTAGGCACTGTTCAAGGACTCATCCTTCCCGTAATGAGGTACTAGATGAAGTCAAGGTGAGACATTTTCTTCTGGCCCTTCCTAAACTTGCCATTTTTGGCCTTTCATTTTAATGCTTTGGACACCAGTGAAATTTAAGACAGGAACTGCCTTCTACATTACTCAACAATTCAAATATCTAGATTATTTCAAAGAAAAAAGATGATCCCTAGTGAAGAAGCAGAAAGTGAAATGGGTGGGGGGTGTGAGGGGAAGAAGTAAAAATCCTTCTTCAGGGTTCTGAAGGTTAATACTACATTATTTATCCTTTTATTCACCCTGAAACCAACTAAGTAATCAGGAAGTAAATATCAAAATTATATACAAGAATCAAGTACAGAAAGTCAAATTTTCTTTTGCACTCATTAATTCAGTATTCTTTGAGAATCAAGTTTGTGTAAGATGTTATACCAGATACTATTAACATAAAGAAACATACAAAATAAAAATCTCCCAGTCCATGTCCACTAGGAGCTTAGACACTACTTAGGGAGATAACTAGGTTTATCTAGCTATCTAGTTATTTCCCTCAGTAGACTATAAAACCTAGTTAGTTATCTCCCTAAATAGACTATAAAATCACTAATAACAACATAAAGCAAAACAGGTTTGAATTACAAAATAAAATATGAAGAGTAAATGTATAAAATGTCTGCAAAGATTAATGTAAGTGTGAACAGTCTGAAAGATATTATGGAAAAAGAAAAATATAAATTTTACCTGAGTTTAATAAATGAATTATTTATATTCCAGTCCAGTTAGGTAAAACACACACACACCCAAGATTACAGGGAAAATACAGACAAACATGTTTACAAATATAAATTAGCCTAATACAAACAGCACTGAAGATAAACGATAAAAGAAACTTTGAAAGCAAGAACTCTCTGACAAGAGTTGAAGTTCAGTTTTGGAAAACACATTAGCCATTGATGACAGGAGCTCAACATGTAGTATTAAATGTGTCTCAACAGCAATAATCCTGTGTACTTCAGTGAAACGGTACACTTTCTTCTTTTCAGAAGAAAAATCTCATTAAAACAACATATTTGCCACTGGATTATTCCCAAATAGGTGGCAGAACATGATAAAACTTTTTGGATTATTCAATTTAGTGTATTTTACTGTAGCGATGAAAATAAGACTATCTCTCAAGATAGTTGCTTGCCAGCTACTTTAAGAAAAATCTTCACTGTGATTCTTCATAAAACTTTCTGCCCCACTGTATTCTCTACATTCAAACACATTCACACCTCAGACATTTAGTTGAATATTTAGCAAGGGCCAGGAATAAACTACAGAGCCAGCAACGACAATGATAATTCCAACAGCCTTATGTATGACACTAATTTATTAAGACATATCAGGAGCTCTTGGGAATGAAGTGTCTGCTAATTAGGCTAACACATACAGATTCCCAACCCTTAACAAAGTTTTTCCAAACATCTGATGAAGAACTTTGATTTATGGGGTGTCCAGGTGAAACCTGAACAGACGGTATCTTTTAATAATAATTGACACATGAGTTTGTTAAGGATTTCAGTCTCGTGAAAACAAGCAGCTCTGTAGATGAAAACAAAGAGGCACATTTTTAGAGTTATCTACCTTGTCTTTATCTTCAACAACATCTGCCAAGACATCATCTGGATCCAGGATTCCTCCATCTGTATATTCTAAGTGATGAATCTTCACCCAGTAACCAGGACCCTATGGTAGAACAAACAACAAGTTTCATGACCCATTCTATGTTAAAAAGTTAAATACATGCTAATTTTAAGAGACATAAATTGACTTGTTAAGAATATCCTCTAGTAACAAATTTTTTAAACACCAAAAACAAATGTTATTAATTTGGAAAAATATTTGGCATTTTTATTCTGTTTAAATTAAATCTGAGAATCACAGTATACATATTTCATCAATTTTCCTGGAAGGTAAACTGCAATGCAAAAATCAACTGCTTGAAAAACATATTCAGGGAATTTTTATAACCTACAACTCAGGTAATTCCAATAATAGTCTGGAAAAGAAAGATCTTCTTGGTGATACTTTCTGAAACTAGGAGAAAAGTTCAAACAGATTCCAAAGCCATAGGAAAAAAAACCCCAAAGGCAGAATCAGTGACGATAATTGCTATCACTACAAAATATATAAATGGAATGGGTAACCACCAACCTCTTCACCTTTTTAAATCTCCATGTTCAGCATGCAACCTCACTCTGAGATATACAATGATGTACAGAACATGAACTCCAGCCTTGCTTGCCATTTCCTGCAGCATGGCAGCAATTCAAACTGTGTTCAGAGTCAAACTGGGAATTCACAAGTTGGGGTAGTAATTTAAGAGATTTTCAACTATTGCTTTTTTAAATATGCTTACTTTTAAAATCTGCTTTCTCTGAATCTAGAATTTAGAATTGAATAATCTAGCTTATTCAGTTACTTATGTACTGCCTATTTCCAGGAGAGCTATGAAAGTGAACTATTACAGCAGTGGGACAAGAGCACAAACCAATGAAGGAAGTGAAGAAAACCATTAGTAAGGTTTTACCAAAATATCCAAGCTATAATCAATTTGGTTTGTGAGTCTTAGAAAGCCCCTCAAAGTGGGAAACTTTTGAGCTATAACACACTTGGTATCTGATAAAGGAACAGATACCAGTTTGTTAAAAAGAAAGATGGAAATTCTTCTAGGATAAAGCTCTAAGCCTTTACCATACAAATCTTTATTAAGGATAATAACTAATGTAACCCACGGAATTCAATTTCAATTTCATAAAAGCTAATAGAAATGGTTGTCATACAGTCTTCTCTTTAGCTGACCCCTGATAAAAGGTAACGGCACACTATTAAATAATAATTTTTTAAGGTATCTATTTGGAGAGCTACTAAAATGTGACCCAAGTACATAGCTTTCCAGTAATGCAACTTGGTAAAGTGATAGGCTTTAAAAAAATCTAAAGGAATTCTCCTTAGTTAGGCTTTGGGCATTTCAAAATTAAATTTTCCATTGAGTATTTAATTCTAAGTAAAATAAAAGGAGTTTTGTTTACTTCTAATACTGAGTTTATAGGTACAAACACCTAACGATTTACTAGGAAACTTTAAATGCCTGACTCTGTGGCACAGATTGAGATCTCAAAGATATGAGCAGTGGGAATATAATCAGGTAAGAAAAGCACAGAACTCTCATTATTCAGATTCTTTAACCAGGGATCTTTGCCAACCCAAAGTAATTGTGCTGTTAAAGATGACCCAAGTATAATAGGTCAGATTTCAAAAAGGTAGGATCCTAGCATACAGAAAACTATGTAACGGCCACTGGACTAGAGAGCTGTCCCCCAGCAATATTTGGGAATTAAATCTTTTTTGTTATGGCCATGCCACAAGCAACACATTTCTCCAAATCCACCCAAGACTTCTGACTGAAATATAGAGTACTAGGTTTTCCTTGTAAAAAAACAGGCTGCTTACAAAAAGAGTTCAATTTAATTAATTTACATAAACTTCCATTGAGTTGTTTTTATGAGATATTACCGCTCTGTAGATGAAATCTGTTGATTTTAACATGATTTTAACCACGTTTATAAAAAGTAATGCAAAGTTTTCTTTATATTGTATTTGTACTTAAAGCAGGCATCTATTAGTTATCTGCTTTTTTCTCATGTTCAGTTTGTAAAAGCAGATCACCTAAGACAGAGATAAACAATTATCCTTTACAACGGCATTAAGTTAAAGTATACCTTTCTTCCTGCCTAGAGATAGAAACACAGAAAGAAGAAACCCACGGAGTCCTAATTTAAAATGGCATTAACTCAAAAAATAGCAAGAGATAGGATTTGATCAGTGGCAAAGGGAATCATCAAACAAACAAACGGCAGCAAGATGGGGTTGTGACGTCACATCTGCTCCTCCCTCATGCACACTCCTGGGACCCCAGACATTGTGGAAAACAAGACACAGGAGTTGCAACTAAGACATGGTTCTCTAATTTGATTCAAAAGACTTCAGAACTAAATCAGGTAAAAAAGTATCTTGATAGATTTTGGAATTATATATTTGACCAAAAAATTTTAAGTGGAAAACATGGTGTCAGAATATGAAAAGATTGCAATTTGAACTCCCTGTTCCACATTGATATTGCCATTTTATACAGTCCAAAGAAGAAAAGAGTGTGCTAATGATGGACACATACCTACACCTAACCCTGAACAAAAACAGACAAGCCATAGGAAATCAGTCTCAGGGTTAATATTTTACACATCTGGGGCGGGGGGAAGTCAACAAACCATAGTTCATACCAACTGTGATTTTGTCCCCATGGTATTTTGGCCATAATACTATCGATCACTTAAAAATGTACATACGCAACCTACAGCCATAAGACCATACATTTATCCTGACTCCTTTATCCATGTAAAAATTTCAACCATTATATTGCAGTTAACATTTTGCATTTCATTTACTTGGTTTTACTGCCATTAGGAATAAAACTTATCAGATATGAAAAAGTGTTCACGGCCGGGCGCGGTGGCTCACGCCTGTAATCCCAGCACTTTGGGAGGCCGAGGCGGGTGGATCACGAGGTCAACAGATCAAGACCATCCTGGTCAACATGGTGAAACCCCGTCTCTACTAAAAATACAAGAAATTAGCTGGGCATGGTGGCGCATGCCACTCGAGATGCCACTCTGTAATCCCAGCTACTGGAGAGGCTGAGGCAGGAGAATTGCCTGAACCCAGGAGGCGGAGGTTGCGGTGAGCCGAGGTCGCGCCATTGCACTCCAGCCTGGGTAACAAGAGCGAAACTCCGTCTCAAAAAAAAAAAAAAAAGAAAAAAGAAAAAGTGTTCACATACATGATCTGGTTCATACCATCACTGGCAAAAGTTTACTGTTTTTTTGATTATGACATTTAACTTACCTTTATATTGCACAAATATCTGTGTACACATAACTTTTAAATTATTTTGAAAATATCTCTAATATATGTTTTCATTTTGTGTAATGTCTTATTACTCATATTCCTAGGATCATTAAGGTATTGAAAAATAATAATTGTTTTCTCTACTTCTGACATTATCGTATCTGTTTTTAACATAATAGTTAATCTAAATGCTACTGAAACTTTTAAACTGAAACTATTTTTTGAGAATGAATTGCAAAAGGAAAGCAAAACAAAAACACATGCATTATAGGAAGAAGACAGTTATAAAGCATTTTTAATGATCAAATGTAAAAATTATTTCAAATAGGCATTAATACTAACAGCAATACTAATAGTAAGATCTTTACTGTGGGTAGATGACATGAAATTTTACCTTATGCCTTAGACATTAACCATGTTTGAAGTACAATGGTTTTGGCACATATACACCATGGAATACTATGAAGCCATAAAAAGTAATGAGTTCGTGTCCTTTGTAGGGACATGGATAAATCTGGAAACCATCATTCTCAGCAAAATGACACAAGAACAGAAAATCAAACACCTCATGATCTTACTCATAGGCGGCTGTTGAACAATAAGAACACATGGACACAGGGAGGGGAGCATTACACACGGGGGTCTGTTTCGGTGGGGCTAGGGGAGGGACAGCGGTGAGTAGGGAGGTTGGGAAGGGATAACATGGGGAGAAATGCAAGATATAGGTGACGGGGGGATGGAGGCAGCAAACCACCTTGCCATGTAAGCACATATATAACAACCCTGCATGATCTGCACATGTACCCCAGAACCTAAAGTACAATAAAAAAATTGTTTTTTTTATCTGTAATACTTAAAGGAGTAGACTGGCAACCCAGACACTATCATGCTGTGACTACCAAGAACTGGGATTATGCCAGTTATCACAAGAAAGAGAAAACTTGGAGGGTCCCAAGCAAGATGCCTGTGGTACAAGAAAGGAAAAAACAGCCTGCAATGACAGCAGGATCCCAAAGTGAGGAGAGCACTACAAAGGAAAAGCCAGTATTTGGAGAATGGCTACATTAATTACAGTGCTCAACCATGCAACTCGTTTCCAGGTGGCTTAATGTTTTTACTAGAATAATCTTACCCACTGGAACACAACAGCAATGGTTAAATGGAAGGTAACAGCAAAACAGAATTTTCTTTATAGAATTTAACTTCACACGAATTTGGTGGCACATCTTCAAGAAATGAGACTTCACCTATAGGTCAGGTACTATAGGTACTATGTGTTTTATATGATTAACATATTTGTCCTCAAAAGCCTCATAAAACAGCTAATCTATTTCATGAGAAGACCAAGGTAGGTGAATTAACTTTCCCCAGGTCAGACACTGAATTAGTACAAAAGCAAAGCCAAGGTGGTAGTTTTTAAACAGAAAATATTTTGTTATTAAATAACTTAATACAAAACAAAATTACCAAGCAATCAGGCAGGGAATCAGGTCCATTTCTATCCCTGCATAAGCATACACATGCAGGCCTGTTGCCATTATTCTGGGCCTCAGGTGCATCATTAGTGAGGCTGGAGACTCGATGGCCTTTTCCGTGATGCATCACATAGAGGTCAAAGTGTAGAGACACAGGAAGTGACAATGGAAGGCCCCAAATTCTTTGCTTAAGTTGGTCTGTCCCATGCTTCACAAATGAGAAATTAACCGGGGAAAACTTCAAAACATAATCTCCATAATCATAGATTTAGGAGTTTGGGAAACAGTGGAAAAAGATCTTACTGC